CCAGCCCCACCCGCCCCCCCCCACCCACCCCCCGCCCACCCCCCCACCCACACCCACACCCACACCCACACCCACACCCTTATATGCTTTTCAAATCGATTCAGAAATGGACGATATTTAATGTTAATATCGGAGACGGAAGGCTTATTTGATTATTTGGAACGTTATTTGAACAAGCACGGAAACAATGCTCGAACACTGATCGGTAGCCAAATGTTGCATGATTTGAATAAAGAATCATACGGCTATCGTGTTTTAATGAATATTATTCTGTACGCTGAAACCAATATCACGTTGATATTACGTCAAATGGATCATATATATGGGGCATTGTACGATTTATTTAATCAAAGTTTTTCCACATATATACTGATCCATCAATAATACCATCAAAATTAATTTTCATCTGTTTTCGAATAATAGAATACTGTTTTGATTGAGTGAATTCATAAGTTATTTCATTTTCGAAATCATTTACAATTCCTTTAATTAGCGAAAAATAATCACGTAAGCCAAAATAATTTTCATATCTTTTCTCCGCTTTCAAGCTTATCAATAAATCATTATAGGCATTAGCTAAATTCAACATAATTTCATCTGTCAAATAAATTGTATTCTCGGTAAGACTATTACGAATGATCTGACCGGTGAGACTTAGGTCATCCACATCAGGATCAGGACAAGCCAAGAAGAGGGAACGATTCATTTTGGATGCGTCAAGACGATAATTCGTAATGCCAACAAATCCATATTGACAAGTTTCAATCTCTAATTCTGCATGGAGAACTTTGAGTGGATTATATGGCGATAATTCAGCTAGACCAATTTCATCAAATACAATTACTGAGATTGAATTCGTACCTGATTTAATTTCATTAATATTTTTTGCACGTTGAAATACTTTTTCAATGCTTTCTGATGTGCATGTTTTTGAACCTTGATATGATACTGGACATAGGTCGGATAGAGTTTGAAAATATTTGTCATTCGACTTTTTTCCTTTTATATTACTAAGTACAATGTTTACAGCCGATGTTTTACTACAGCCAGGCTTTCCACATATGATAATCGGTATACGATTGATAGTACAAATCAATATGGCAAATATATTAGTACGTAATGTACGATTTTGTGCTGTACCTTTTGGTAAAATCATACGTTGAATGAAATCATTTTCTTCATCGTCGAGTAGTTTTTCTAAATTGAGATTTTTGAGATGATTAGGTAAGTTAGATTTTACTAATTCAAGATATTCTTGCTTGCTTTGAGCGGAGTACAAACGAAAATAATAACATAATAGCAAGGCTAATAATGCTGCCCGTACTTGGACAGATAATGGGGACCATTCAATTGCTGTTGATCGATGCTCAATAGATGTGTAAAACCAATCGTATAATTGTCGATAACGAACAACATCACGCAAACTGACACTAGAAACATCTTCGATTCGTCGAATGAAATCCTGTGACTCACATATTAAAGTGACTACCGTTTTATACCAACTTCTGTCGTCTGTCAAATTGTTCTTACATTGACCGATGATTGTTTCGATATACCTTCTTTCGGCAGATGGTGTTAGAAATCCGAAATCCCATATATGTTCAATCATTGTTTCAGGAATAGGTACGACTGTATACAAAAGTCGATTATTGGTTGTCACATTGTGCATTTCATATCTATCGATAGACAAACCAACTTTATTTCGATCATTATTTGCATCATCGTTTAGGTTCACTTGCATACGGCTCGGATTACATGCACCTAAGAGAACTATATTATTCGGCAACGATTTTCCCAATAGTGTTCGTTCGCATATGATCTCTTTAATGAGACCAATATTTTCTGTTGTATTAAATTCATCAAAAAATATCCATAGACGTTGTGGAGCGATAAATATGTTGGCTTTTTCAATGAAGTTTTCCATTTGACAGATGATTTGTGAACTTGTGACACCGGCGTGAATACGTAATACTTCCAATTCGTCGTCGAGAATTATTTGACATAAAAATCTGATCAAAGCCGTTTTTCCACATCCTTGAAATGAGAAAAGCACATAGTTTAATGCATATATTGTTATCAAATAACATTTCTAACAGAGTGATTTCCTGTCTTTCTTCAGTGCCAAGTCCTTTCATTATTCTGATGAATGCACTTGACCGCTTTGCTCTTTTCTACACTGTACTTACATCTTTCTGAAAATATTAATTTATCATTCTAAAAATATATCTTGTTTTCTAATGCTTTTTGGGTAATCTTCCACGGTTTGCTCATTCATAGTTCATTTTCTACAAAGTGGTCTGTGCTTGAAAACAAAATGCGTTGAAAACATAGATGATAAGTATCAATTAATTAATGGGAAACTTGAAATATTTTTTTGTAATCAAGCAAAAGTTGACCACAATACAATGACATCGAAAAATTAGCAATATACTAGAACATTGTGTAAGGACATATCCTTTAACTCTAGGACGGGGTTTACTGCATGTATGTGCAGCTCTCTGTCTTTTTGAAGAAATCGTGTCACTTGTCTTTACTTTTCTCTTTCCGTTTCTCACTCAGTACTGATCAGTTAGAAAATAATTTAGTCGACTTCTAAGTCATTCTCTTGTTTCTTCCTATCTGTCTTGGCATGAGTATCTCTCTTTCGCGTTTCAATAAGTGAATGGTGAACGAAGTAGCGGTACAATCACCAGTAATTTGGCGGCTCTCTCCGGTTAAATAATTTCCAACATCAGTTATAAAAATTCAATCTGTTTCTGCATTTCGAGCAGTTTGTCAATCAATGTCATATCAAAGTGTTTTCTCTTGTGCGAAGATCTAGTAACTAACGGCGGATATAAAAAAAGATTGATTATTTAATGTTGATCTTTTCGATTTTCTCATCATTGTCACAATGATTCAATTATTTTTTTTTACCAGATGAGTCTTCGTTTAATTCTCGAAAGAAGCACTATCTTTATTAACCTTATCGATTTGCTGAAATTTGTTCAATGCGACAGAATCATATAGGTTGTTCCAAAGATCCGTCGGAAAAAAGAAGGTGAAAAACTTGTGAACAATACAAGCAATATCCATACACTTTTTCTAATTTATCTCAAATTCTTCGAAACTTTATCTCGCATAATTTCCTTTGAGCTCGTTGTTTAAAATGAGCACAGTGAACTGAAACACACAAATCCAGTGTTCTCAAATATTTGAAAAACGCCATTCGATAGAGTTGTCTTTCAAGTCATTTTAGTTTTGCTTCGGATTCTTATTGTTATTTCACCCTAATCTTTAGGAAGCATCTTGCAGATAGGGATGCAACAAATCTTGAGATAAATTTGAATTTGGCGTCAAATCTTTGGGATTTGGCTTTAGGTTTGGAATTTCTACCCTACGCTTGGATTTGTATTTGTATGCTGTGTTTGGATTCGAATTTGGATTTGTAGTCCAGGTTTGGGCATAGGTTTGGATTTGTAGTTTAGATTTGGGATATAGGTTTGGATTTGCCTTGGGATTTCTACAAATCTAACAAATAGTTTTGGATTTGTTGAGATATATATTCAGCATACTTCAAGTAGCCTATTCACTGCAATGAAATCATATTAAATGGCTCTTATCGATTGATAAAAGTTTGGCAATCTGAAAAGTTCTTGCAATAAAAGTATACTATACTCCATACAAAAAGTTTGTGCGTGTGAGTATTTTTTAAATAACTCGAGAGCAAAGCGAGATAGAAACCTGCGGTTTTCGCCACTATGTAGAGCTTGGAGTACTCTACCGATTCATTAATAGAAGATGAAAAACATAAAATTTTTAGGTAATGTTCATTATCGATCTTTGAAAGATGTGAACATGGTTACCTTAAGTTTTATAGTGACTTATCAGTTTTAAATATGTAAAAGATAGTTTAGAGGATCCTCTACTACATGGCGAAAGATCGACCTTTGTAGTTATTATGGTTCAAAAATGTTACACATTTTCCTAGAGTCTATAAAAGTGCTTTTTCTCAATAGGATGGACTACAAATATGTATACTAAAGTTCGTTGTTGATCATTTTTTGAACTGTAGGAACGACTAGCTTTGTTCTGGAACAAATTTTTTAATTGAAGATGAAGAGCTAGATTACGCAGAAAGAGTATGAATTCAACATATGTGATCAAAATGAAATAAAAAGTGTAATTTTATGACCAGCATATTACAAAGTATCACTTATTGATATAAACAAATATTTAGTTCTTATATACTGTGTTCATCTAGTTTACGTCGTCTTTGCTACATTGCTGAGTATTCTCAAGATCCTTTCGATATATTGAAATCGTCTTTTTAAAATACCACAATTAATCACCACATGCACTAGTACGTTAACCAATGCAATTATTACTAATGTTGCTTCCAAGGCTCGCGATAGTTTTGAAAAGTGGGAGGGGCTGAAGATTTGGCAAATATTATTGAATTTTGTCGCAGACACTTGTTGAGAAGCCCATCACAGATTGTCGGGCAAAATTCAGCCAAAATCACGAATAAACTGAGAGATTTCGCCGAAAACGGTACGTTTTCTCACAGATTTTGGGAAAACTGCTGATTTTATGCTAGGTTCTAGTAAAAAACAAGTTCTCTACCAGATTTTTTAGACAGCTAGAAGAAAAAATTCCCAGACAAGCCCGAAAGTGGGGGGCTAGCCTATCCCATCTTCTCCCACATCGTGGGTACTAGTTGTTTCTTCAAAGACGAGTCTTGGACGACTAAACTATCGAAAAGAAAGTAAATCAATAACTCTTAGAACCATAACACAACATAGCAAAGACTATGTAAAATAGATGAACACAGTATATAAGAATTAAATATTTGTTTATATCAATAAATGATACTTTGTAATGTGTAAATTTCTTGTTCTTGATAGTGTACAATTTTAGCAGTCTATATGTATACTTAAAAAGAGATAAAATGATGGTGTATCGTATATCTAGAGAGCTTTGAATGGAATAGAATTTAATATTTCTCTGACTAGCAACTTGATCAGAGTCGTTTAACAGATGAATATACATTAGAAACCTATGGCACTACAGAACTGCTAAGACATATACGTAGCGAATACAATGAAAGAACACCCCACTCAAACAGTTTTCTAATAACCTACGCGAACATACAATCTAGTTTGATACCTGAAGTTGGATAACTATGATAAAAATTTTACATGGACTAAGAAGATTACACTACGGAAAAATTATATTCCCAAATCTAAACCGTTTTGGTCATTGGAAACCAAAGGAAAATCGAATTCAAACCAAATCCAAACATTAGGTATCAAACCCAAATCCGAATCCAAGCATTAGATAACAAATCCAAACCAAACCCAAATATCAGATATCAAATCCAAATTCAAATCCGAATCCATACCAAATCCAAATCTACATTCGAACCCAAACCCCTAATATAAAATCCCAAACGTTCGGGTTTGCTGCATCCCTACTTGTAGATATTGTCTTTCATGAATTTCCACTAAAAAAAGCTTGTTCGCGCAGCTCCTTTAGAGCTGAAATGTAGAACTCACATATATCTTTAAACCTTAATATCCTAGTACATCATATGTGAACTGAAAAATTTCTTGTACACTGTAGTTGTTTTCATAGATAATCGATGACAAGAGCGAGACTTTATTATTTATTTCTACATTTAAAACAGAGATTCTTTTGTTTCAGAGCGCCCGATTTCATTTATAATTGTTGTTATGCACTCGATATTAGTCATTTTCTTGTTTTTGTTTTAATTTGACGTTATTATTTTTCTTCATCATCGACTATCTCATAAATCAGACTGTTATAATAATGCACTATATATGCATCAGCAGATCTTACCGTACTACTATATATTCGAATCAACTCATAAATGGTGATATCGTTTATTTGTTAAACTGATAAAAAAGCTCGAATCATGCTTTTCATGTTGATTATATGATTGCTATGACAGATCAACCTATTACTACTCTTCATTCTTCATTTTTAAAATACAACTTTAAATTCTAAAAAGTTTGACGATTTCCCTATTACGAGCTTTAACAGATATACTATACTTTTTCAAACATTAATGAAGGCGTTGAAATATTGTATAACAGTCGAACTCATATTCTTTATACTGCTCAACTCCTTTTTTTATTAATAAATAAATCTGAAGCCTGTTGCGTGCGGTTGCTGAGGTCTGTAATGGGGGGAGGGGGTATGTCTGTAATGGGGGGGGGGGGGGGGGGTGGCGGGGGTGGCGGGGGTGTGGGAGGGGGGGTTCGTTTTGGGGG